CATTCTAGCGCCCCCTCGTGAAGGTGCCAGTTACGTAGTCCTCCCCACCCCACCAACGAATGTACCCCAAAAGGCTTTTTCTGAGGCACCTGTGCCCCCCAGAGACCCAAACCCAGCCCTCCTACTTAGGTACTCAAGACAGGCTCACTTCTTCCATGTGTGGGCATCTGCAGCCTGTGCCCCTCCCCCTCAGCCCCTTCTTCCCAGGCAATTTCGGGTGAAGGCTTGGCTTAGAGTGTTTGGTCTCCCCCACAGACTGACCCACAGTACACCGCAGCGGTGACAGAGAACATCAAGGCCTTGTGAGTATGGGCAGCCTGGCAATGCTGGTGGAGGAAGGGCCCTCTGCCTGTGTGCCTGCCTCCCCCACAAGGTGCTTCCCCTCTGCAGGGGAGGGGTCTTCTCCCATTGGCTGAAAGAGGTGGGTGTGTAGAGGTGGCCCAGCCCTTCTCTGGAGTCCCATTGCCTCAGTAGGCTGGGTGTGGTGGAATGGGGATGTCAGCCTGATGGGCCTTGAGGAAGGGAGAAATCTAGCTGGCTCAGCCCCTCTTCAGTCCCTGGAGGCTACACACCCACTGGGCCTTTCTGTTCCCCAGGTTCCCCATGGAGATCCATTCTGGGCTCCTGGAGATCATCTCCCCTTCCCCCCACTTCTACCCTGACTTCTCCCGCCTCCGAGAGTCCTTTGGGGACCCCAAAGAGAGAGTCAGGTACTGGCCCTCCCCCCGTAGTCCCAGCAACCTGCCCACCTGTGACAAGAACCTTGTCTATTGGTCCAAGTCCAGGGTACTTCCCTGCAGTGCCCCTGTTTCTCTGTACCCTGCATGGTGTGGCTGGGTCCCTCCCACTCAGTGGCCTTCCTACAGCCCTTGGTAGCCCAGGTGGTGGTAGCCCCATTGGAGGTGGAGGGATCCTGTGGGTCTGAGCCCCTGAGGCCCTGCCTCTGGCCCACAGGTGGAGGACCAAACAGAACCTCGATTACTGCTTCCTCATGATGTATGCGCAGTCCAAAGGCATCTACTATGTGCAGGTCAGCTCTGAGACCCTGCTCCACCTGGGGGGTGGTGTGGGTCAGGGCCCAATGGAGGCTTTCCTGCCTTGTTCTGTCTTCTGTCACCCTGGACCCTGGTTGGGCCTTGGTGCTGAGCCCTGCCCGCCCCCATGCCCATCCTGAATCCTGGCCAGATCTCCGCCGTAAGCCCTGTTTTACTCTCCTGCCTGTGCAGCTGGAGGATGACATTGTAGCCAAGCCTAACTACCTGAGCACCATGAAGAACTTTGCCCTCCAGCAGCCCTCGGAGGACTGGATGATCCTGGAGTTTTCCCAGCTCGGCTTCATTGGTATGCCCCCACCCCGCAACACACACCTGACCACAGCCCTCCAGCCAGCCCACCTCTCTGCCTCTGTCATCATTTCTCAGCTCCTGCCCTGCTCCTTGCCCCCATGACCATGCTGTGGCAGGATTGCCAGTCTTTGCCCAGATTCAAGCCCTGCCCGGAGTGCCCACCCCAACTCCCCCACTCTCTTCCTGTCCCCACGTCGGGGATGTCTGGCTTCCCCACCCCATCTGTCTCCTGTGCCCACACCTGCCTAAGGCTGGCAGACAGTCCCTTTGGGTTTGCTCTGGGACCCTCCTCAGTGGCCCTCACAGGAGTTAAGAGGAAGTGAAGCAGGGTAGCTGCTGCGTGCTCAGCCCCTCTCACCACTACCCCCACCACCACCCCACACAGGGAAGATGTTCAAGTCGCTGGATCTGAGCCTGATTGTGGAGTTCATCCTCATGTTCTACCGGGACAAGCCCATCGACTGGCTCCTAGACCATATTCTGTGGGTGAAGGTCTGCAACCCCGAGAAGGATGCGGTAAGCGGGGGCTGCACAGATGCTGGGCAGGATGAGGGACACACAGCCTCCAATAGACTGGGTGTGACCGTGCTGCAGGAGACTCCTGGCTGCCCCCCAGGCAAGGCCCTATCCTTGCTAACGCCCGGGTGTCGTCCTCACTCTGCAGAAGCACTGTGACCGGCAGAAGGCCAACCTTCGGATCCGCTTCAAGCCGTCCCTGTTCCAGCATGTGGGCACTCACTCCTCGCTGGCAGGCAAGATCCAGAAACTGAAGGTGTGCCAAGTCACATGCTTACCAGGCCCACCGGGACAATCTAGGCAGAGCCCAGGCTGGGGCCTAGGCTGGGGCTGGCAAGGGGTGGCAGGGCAGCCTCTAGCACCACTGTCCCTCCATGGCTGCAGGATAAGGACTTTGGAAAGCAAGCACTGAGGAAGGAGCACGTCAACCCGCCAGCGGAGGTGAGCACGAGCCTCAAGACATACCAGCACTTCACCCTGGAGAAGGCCTACCTGCGTGAGGATTTCTTCTGGGCCTTCACGCCCACCGCAGGGGACTTCATCCGCTTCCGCTTCTTCCAGCCGCTGCGCCTTGAGCGGTCAGTGCCAGCACCCATGTTGGGGGAGGGGTCTGGGTAAACACCAGCCCCTGGGGTACAGGCCTCACCCCAGATGTCTGGGCCTACAGGTGCCCTTTTGTGACCTGCAGCAAATTGCTGAATCTCAGTGTGCCTCAGTTTCCTTATCTGAAAAGTGGGGTTTATACATAACTATAGCTACCTGGTAAGGACTAAGGGTGGCAGTCCCCGCAGGAACTCAGTAATGATGCCCGTCACCATTGTCCCTATGAGTAAGGCCTTGGTGGCTGTGTCCAGCCTCCTCCTGCACCCTGGATCCCACTGCCCTCCTGGCCCAGGCCTGGCCTTTTCTTTCCCGGGCCTAGGCAATGCACTTGGGCAGGGCCCCAACTGCGCAGTGGCTCACAGGCCTGTCTGGCGCAGGTTCTTCTTCCGCAGTGGGAACATTGAGCACCCAGAGGACAAGCTCTTCAACACGTCTGTGGAGGTGCTGCCCTTTGATGTGAGTGTGGTGGAGGTAGGTGTGCACTGGAGCCTGGCCCCACCCCAGCCATGGTGGTCCAGCCTCTTGCTTTTGTCCTCAGAACCCCCAGTCAGACAAGGAGGCCCTGCAGGAGGGCCGCTCAGCCACTCTCCGGTACCCTCGGAGCCCTGACGGCTACCTGCAAATCGGTGAGTGGGGGGGTGAGTAGCGGGAGGGGCAGGGCTGAGCAGCCAGGCCCCGTGGGGGCTGGGGTCTCTGGGACCACCTCTCAGCACTGCCCTCCCCTAGGCTTTTTCCACAAGGGTGTGGCCGAGGGTGAGGTGGACCCTGCCTTCGGCCCCCTGGAAGCACTGCGCCTCTCCATCCAGACAGACTCGCCAGTGTGGGTCATTCTGAGCGAGGTGAGGTGGGCAGGGTGCAGGGAACAGTAGCTGGACCAGGCCAGTGCTCCGAGCCCTGCTGACCCTGAGCCCCACTCTTCCAGATCTTCCTGAAAAAGGCCGACTAAGTCGAGGGCTTCTGAGGGTGCGTTGCGGCAGTACCTGAAGACCACCGGACCGCGATGTCATCGCTGCTGCCCCCGGAGGACCAGGTGCGGCTGCCCCAGTGTGAAGGGTTCTGCCTGGCGCAGGGCCTGGGCGGCCTGGGGTCTGCTGTTAGCCCGGAGGCCCCAGGAGCTGGTGCTGCCCCGCCGCGGGGCCCACAGAGGAGGCAGGCGGCCCCCCACTGTGCCTGACAGCCGGCCTGCGCCGCCCCGGAGGAACCGTTCTCACCGGGCCCGCTAGAGCCAGGCCGTTTTAGAAGAGCTTTCTCCTGGGTGCCCGCTGTCTCCGGCGTGAACACTGGAATGCATATACTACTTTATGTGCTGTGTTTTCTATTCTTGGATACATTTGATTTTTTCACGTAAGTCCACATATACTTCTATAAGAGCGTGACTTGTAATAAAGGGTTAATGAAGTGTATGCCTCAAATGGAGCTACCGGCAGGCTGTGCTTGGGGGTCCCGGCCTGTGCCTGGGCTAAACACGTGGGCAGGTAGGAGAGGCTTGGCGCCAGAACACTTCACCCTGTACCAGCTCCGACTCTCCCGCTACGCCAAGGAGCTGGACTCGCCCCACTGCGTGCGTCCTGGCGCTCCCGCCGCGCAGGCGCAGCTCGGCACGACCGCACCTCTATCTTCCCGGGAGTCCGGGAGCCTGTCCGACCCATGAGGACGCCCCAAAAGTGCTTCGCCCCACGTCATCTTGGAGGCTCCCCGGCATCCAGCCCCAAGTGCCCAGAGGCCACGGCCTTCCCTGGGGGGACGAACGCATCCTCCAACCTTCTCATCCCTTCTTTGTGGGTCTTAGCTCTGTCTTCATCTCTCCTCCCTGCTATCTGCCACATGTTAGGGTCTTCTTCCCTAAAATGAGCCGTCTCCGCCCATGCCAGGGCCTTTGCACACACTGTTGCCCCTGCCGCGAAAATTCGTCTTTACCCCTTTGCTGGCTCAACTAAAAGTCACTTTCTTAGGGATGTTTTGTCTGGCCGGCAGGCCTTCTTCCCGGTGTCTGTCCCCAAGGCACCCAGACATTTCCTTGAGAGCTCCTATCAAGACTACATTGAGTGAGAATTCGTCGTCGTCGTCCCCACTGCTCTGCGGATCTCGGCAGGGATACCCTGAACATCTACACTGTTCTAGACGCTGGGGACCGAGTGGTGACAAAAATGGCCCCTGTCCTCGGTCCGTGGAGACACCGACCAGGCTCTGGTGTTGGTCGTGAAGGCTGGGAGACGAAGAATAGTCTGACTGAGGGTCAATGGAGGGGAAGGCCTCGGAGAGTAGAGCGCTGAAGGCAGGGAGGAGCCGTGGCTGAATCTCGGCGGGAAAGGGCATGTCAGGCAGGGAGGAAGTGGAAAACGACTAGGACGTACCGTTGGCGCCCCAGGCCCCGCCCCTCCTCGGAGTTCGTCTGGGCTCCTTTTTTTTTCCGCGGCCCCGCCCGCCGCCTCCGGGAAGCCCTCCTGGCTGCTCCCACACCAGTCTGGGTCCTTCCAGGCTCCATAGCCCGATATGCGCGACCTCCTCCGACCCAAAGAGAGCAGCCAGGGTTCGGTCATGGGAACTTTAATTACAGACAGAGAAATGCAGAGGCGAGCACCTCTGCCCCACCCCCTCCCCCGACCTCCGAAGGCTCCGGCTTTTCCGCAGCTCCGCCGATCCTGCGTCCTCAGGTCCAAGTAATCAGCGTCCGCAGCCGTCCCAGGAGCTCGGCGCGCAGCGAGACAGGGAGGAAGTGGCAGAGCAAGCCTAGCGCCGCCAGCGCCACAAGTAGCCACAGCGCGCGCGCGCTCGCGTACAGCGGGGCTAGCCTGTGGGCAATGCTAAGCGGGGGGCGGGGACGGGGCAGGACGCGGCCCGCCCACGGCCCGCCCACGGCCCACGCTAGCCCTCCCTGCCAACCCCAGCAGAATTAGGCCGGTCCACCGCCCGTCACCAGGGCGCCGCCTCCCTGTCCCCGAAAAGGGCCCTGCCTCCAACCAGTCGCCTTCATCCCCTCGGGGACTCGGCCATCAGGACCCGAACCACGAGCGACCTTTCCCCAGTCCCGCTTCCCTTCCGGAGAGCCACGCCCCTGTTCTCACCTGAGCTGCGCGGAACGCGCATAGCCCTGGAAGTAGCGGAGGCGCGCGAACAGGTAGACCAGGCCGCACAGGGCCGCTGCCCCTGGGAGACGTGCGGGCGGGGAAGCGTGAGCACGCTAGCAGGCACCCGCTCCGGCCTCGGTGCGGTGCGTGCGCCCTGCCCCACGCCCAGACCTTCGTGAAAGAAGACGCCGGCGACCCAGAGCGTGGCGAGGAACAGCGGGAAGTACTCGCTGCAGTTCACCCTGCGGGGGCGGGCACGATGAGGGCGTCGTGAGCCTGGGTCGCCGCGCCAGTCCGCCCTAGGCTTGCTCGTGGCTCTCCTGCGCTCTCTCCAACCCTCCCCGCCTCGCCCGCGCCTCACTGGGCCCGGTAGACGCGCTCGAACTCGGGCGGTCCCGTGGTGAGCGGCGGCGACACGCGGAAGGTCCTGCGTGCCGAGATCACCTGCAGGGAGAAGTAGGCTGGGGCGGAGTGGGAGGGAGTCAGGTCTGGCGGCCCGACGCGCCTCAGCCTCCTCCACATCCCTCCCTCGAATCTGGCCCGCACCGTCCCTTCTCCTCACTGCTCCACCCTGAACTTGTGGCAGGGAGGCCGTATCCCGCCCTGTGAGTGTAACGGGGGTGTGTGATGCGGAAATAGGGACACCTGCCCGCGGGAGAGGCCACTCAGAACTTTGCTCCTGAATCATTTGACTTGAAAACACAGGCAAATACACAGCTGGGACTCTCTAGGCATGGACCTTAGCTTTGGGATCCCAGGACAGGAAGTGCCACCAGAGTCTGAGGAAAGAGCTGGCTGCATCCCATGAGATGCAGGGGAGCACATGCCCCGTGGCTAAGTCCGTGGTCCCCCACCTACTGAGCCCACCAGGACGAACCTCCTGACCCTGCCTCAGGCCAGGATCACTCAAGCCTGGGTCCCTGTGCCTCCAAACTGGCATGGGCTCCTGCCTCACTTTCCTCCTTCAACTGTCCTGGACCCTGGCTTAAATGCGACAAACACTGCCCCCCTCCAGGTGGTTGCAGCTGGGCGTCTCCAGGCCTAACCCCAGAACCCTCCCACCCTCCATTCCAGTATGGGTCAGTGCACAGGGTGGGTTGGCCCTAGGGGTTCTCTTGGCCCCAGGCCAGGCCCCCACCTCACAGCTACACCCCAGTATTTGGTGTCCCCAATTATCTCCCTGCAAGCAGTCTTGTGGCCCTAGTGCCTTTGGTGCCAGGCCCTCTGCAGACATACCCCATCCCAGGTGCACTGTGGGTGCCGAGGGGGTGGCTGTGCCAGTACAGTTCTTCCCTCTGGAGGGAGGGACTTGGCTGTCCCACTTCTGTACTGACCACCAGACCACCATTCATCTTGGCTCATCCCCTCCCCCACCCAGGTCCTGCAGCTCAACACAGCCTTGCTGCTCCACCTGGCCCCGAAACCTGCTCTCTTCCAGGGTTCCTTATGCTAGCCGAGGGCCACCAGCTCCCAACCTCAAGTCAGCTAACTGGCATGCCTACCTCAGCTGGCTCTCAGGGCCAAGACCTTTTTCTATTCTGTTGCTGGTCCCCCTTGGTCAGGCCACCACCCCTCTCAGCCTCAGTCCCCTGCCCAAGGTTTCTATGCAGACACCCTGCAGGGTAAACCCTACAGACACCCCTCCAGGGCTTCTGACAGGTCCTGCAGAGGCCTGAGACCCACACAGCTCCCAGACAGGTGCCAGCCCACCTTGCAGCAGGACTCCCAGGAGAGTGATGGTAGCCAGAAGAGCTATGTCGTCCTTCATGGTGCCAGCAGCTCTGCTGGAGCTGGGCTGGCGTGTGGGAGGGCTAGCTGCAGAGGTCTTATCAACTCCAGGCTGCAGCTCAGCAGCTGGGCCAGAAGAGTGACCTCAGAGCTCTCCCCACCCTCCTCAGGGCAGGGGGAGGGTATGGGGGTGTGACCATGGCCAGACAGAGCTGAAGGCCTGGCCAGGCTGAGGACTGAAATCAGTTCTACAGGGAAGTGGGCCAGGGGAGAGCAGCTAGCTGGGGACAGCCTGGCTACTTCCTCCCAGTCGTTCCTGCCACTTCCTTGCCTACCCTATGCTGGTGAAGCCCAAACCTGTCCACCTTGGGGATATGTCCAGCTGCCTCGGGAACATTGTCCCAGTGTCCCCCATACTCTGCACCCTCAGCAGGTCCCTTCTGACCCCCTCATCCTGAGTCCCATCCCAGGAAACAAGACCAACTCAGGTAGAGGCTCCTACCTGAACCCCCACCCCCACTTCCCACCTATCACCAAGCCCCATTCTCTCAAATGCACCCATTTCTCCCCATCTCCAGTGCTACTTTCCAAGTCCCTCCCTGCCCTAGTCATCTTTTACCTGGGCACAGGTCACACACAGTCTCTGGCTCCCAGCCCTAACTCCCACACACACGCTTATCTCCGTTTCCCCACTCTCCCCTGCTGAAACCCTGCCCAGTTCCCCTGTGCCCTGAGAGTCCGGATACCTCCAGCCCACACTGGAACCAGCCAAGATTCTTGCTCATTTCAAGAAAACTTCAGATGCCTGCCAGCCACACAGCTGCATGGGCTTCATGCACAGGGGCCACCCTGTCCTTGGGCCATGGCCAGTAGATGGGGGCGCCTGCCCCAAGGCTACCCTGAGGGCCTGGCAGGGTGGGTCAGCACACTCAGGATGGCCGAACCCATCACTCTCTTGGGCCTCTCACCTCGGAACAGACACTGCATTTTTGCCTGCCCAGCATCCATCTTTAGGAAACAGGCCCTGCCCCTACCTTCCTGAGGCCCTGACCCTCCCCACACTCAGGTCCCTGAGTGGCAATCGGTGGGGGTCCCTGGCCACAGTGATTGGATCAAAGATGGGCATGTGGATCGAAACAGGCTGACTTGAGACAGTGAGACTCAGTTCTGGAAATTCTCTTAGAACTTTGGGAAAGTGGACAGGGAGACTACTGAGTGCTGCTGGCAGAGGACGGAGCCAACATCCAGAGGGCTGGGCGCTGCCATGCCAGAGCTCCTGGAGCCGTCCAGCCTTTTCAGTTTTGTAAGATGGCCACTTCTCCTTTTAGCTCAAGTTGGTTTGAGGTGGTGGGTTTTGGTCAGCAGAAACGGAGTCCAGACCAATACACACACAGGCCGGGGCTGCACAGGCCACACACAAGTACAGGCCAGGCTGGGAAAGGGACACGGACGAGCTGCTGGGTGTTCCATGAAGCTACAGCGTCCCTGGGTCTTGGGCCACCATGAGGACAGCCCTCCTGGCCCTGGACTGCCTTGGACACCTCATAATAAACCCTGGTCACCCCAGGGGAGTCTCCACATGTCAGGGTCACGGGACCGTGGGAGCTCCTTCCCAGGGTCCTTCCTTGCTGCTCCCACATTGAGTTCCAGAGTCAGGCTTTGTTGCCGCGTGGATTCCCCCAGATCCCCTCTTCCATCTCATCACCTGGCCGGGGCCCCATGCTCTCCAGTCTTCATTGCCCCCAAGAAGCCAGCTGCTCCCCCAAGGGGGGACTCTGAGCTCTGTCCCCAGCTTTAGGCCTAGGTGGGAAAGTAGTAGCAGCAGTAGGCGCTCAGCAATGGAGGAATTATTGTTAGAAGCTGGCAAACAGTGATGGGGGAGCACCATGGAGCAGACACCTGTTTTGCCTTCCCTCTACCCACTCAGCCCCCTCCTCCCTGAAACCTGCCCTGACTACAATGCTCCTGCTCTGGCCATTCTCTGGCTGCCCGAGGCCTGCTGGGAGGGTGGGATTCACGCCCCTGCCTGGGCATCGGGGCAGGTGCCAGGGTGCAGGGCACTAGGGTGTCTGCGTGAACTGTGTGTGTGCAAGAGTGTGCCATGCACATCCATGGAGGAGTTCACACATCTGCATGTCTCTCTCAGGGATTGGCCACACTGGCGAGTGCACTGGAGTGCATCCATGGGCCTGAGTGTGTGTCCTCTTGACTTTGACATGCTCAGGCCCCCCTCTCTGCCAAGCTGTCATTTCCTGTGAGACCTAGGCGTCCCCCGTCTGAGTTCACTGCCCTCTGCCATGGCAACAGGAAGCTGAAGCCTAACATCAGCAGCTTCTGAGGAAGTCCCTGGACGGATGTTTAGACCAGGACGGGGGTCTCATTCCCTCCCACAGCCCCTGGAGGCCTCCCTAGGTCCCTTAGACCCCACCTCCCTTCCTCTGAGCTTCCCCTGCCTGGGCCTGGGCCAGCGCAGGCTGACAGGAGGCCCAGCCCTTGGCCTCTTCAGGCACGGCCCTGGACCACAGACACCCACTCTCCTGTCCAGCCCTGGAAGCACCACTTTACAAGGAAGGTCAGAACTCCTCCTGAGCCCCGGCAGGACATGCCCTCTGTGACCCAGAAGGGTGCCGAAGAACCTACAGCTCCTACAGGGTCCTGAGGAACCTTCTGGATGCTAGACTCAGCAAGGGCTTCTGGGAAGTGGAAAGGGCAGCATGGTGTTGAAAAGAAATGACAACTTCAGTATAGGAGGCCATCATAAGCAGTGCCCAACAACTTGAATCCTAAGCTTTTAAAAAAACAAAAACTTTTTATTCTGAAGTTATTTCAGACTTATAAAAAAGTTGCATAAATAGTACACAGAGTTCCCATACACCCTTCACCCAGTTCCTCTAATGTTAAAATCTTATATAACCATAATGAGTTATCTAAACTAAGAAATTAAGGTAATTTCTTGGCTAATACCATCAGCCATTTTACAGATCTTATTCAAGTTTCACCAGTTGTCTCACTGTTATAGATTAAATTGTATCCCTCCCAAAATATGTCTTAGAATTGTGACCCACCTATGGATGTGATCCCATCTGGAAATAGGATTTTCTTTGTTATTTTAATTAGATCATACCTGTTATGCATTGAATTGTGTCCCCCCCCAGAAAATGTGTATCAACTTGGCTAGGCCATGATTCCCAGTATTGTGTGATTGTCCACCATTTTGTGATCTGATGTAACTATCCTATGTGTTGTAAATCCTAACCTCCATGAGGTTAATGAGGCAGGATTACAGACAGTATGTTAATGAGGCAGGACTCAATCTACAGAATTAGGTTGTATTTTGAGTCAATCTCTTTTGAGATATAAAAGACAGAATCAAGCAGAGAGGAAGGGGACCTCATACTGCCAAGCAAGAAGAGCCAGGAGTAGAGTGTGTCCTTTGGACTTGGGGTCCC